ACTACAAGGAGGCCTTCTCCCTGTTCGACAAGCGCGGCAACGGCCGTGTCGCCATCGACAGCTTGGGCGACCTCCTCCGCGCCTGCGGCCAGAACCCTACCCTGACCGAGATTCGCGACCTCGAGAAGAACGTTGGCGGCGACTGTGAGTTTTGTCCCATGCGTCCACCGCGCATCGGACACCGGTGTATACCATCAGCATAGAGACAAGGTACTGACCAGCGATGATTGCGCGCGCAGTCGACTTTGAGACCTTTCAGCGCATTCTCAACCGCCCAGGCGGCTTCCGTGACCCCGGCGAACCCGAGGAGTACTGCCGCGGTTTCCAGGTCTTTGACAAGGACATGACGGGCTTCATCGGCGTCGGCCAGCTCAAGTACATCCTGACCAACCTCGGTGAGAAGATGTCCGACGACGAGGTCGACGAGCTTCTCAAGGCTGTCGACACCAGCTCTGGCCAGGTCAACTACACCGGTAAGCCATCATCTTTCAGCATGCTGGTTGCATCGCAAGCATTGAAGACTGCGTTTACTGATACCCGCGTAACAGAGCTTGTCCGAACCATCCTCGCCAACTAGATTCATCCAGCGAGCGAGCATTGTACGAACAGATCAGAGGAACGAGGCGGAGGCAGTTTACGAAAAGAGAAGACAGAGACACTTGCATGGCTGGCACGATGGGAAATGGCGTTTGCTTTTGCGTTGCGATTGCGTTGTTCGCTATTGTAGGGAATTTGGGTATTCTGGAGTTCAACCCTGCCTCCTCAGAGGCGTTGCTCCGGACCACACGACACATGTACGGGACTGAATAGAGCCGATACCAAAAGAAATAAATACCATGATACCAACATCACTGCGCGTGCGATCCTCGCATAAGATGGATGTTTACAAAGCGGTCAGGGGTTGTACCTGTTTGGAAGCGTATGCTGGGACGAGAGTACAAGACATCGCGATACATCCACTGCGTCATGTTCTTGACAACGAAAGACTGAGTGCGAGGCACGTTTCCTTGCGACGCTACGGCTAGGTATGCTACGGCCTCTGCGATCTAGTCATGTTGATCCGTCGGCCTCAGCCATGATGTCGCACCAGGCCTTGGCCCGTCTGCCCAGCAACAAAGGACCCCGCACATTCTGGTAGGTACAATCGTCTTCTTATGTAAGCTCGCTTCCGTCAGGCGATGTGGCCTGCATCCTGGACCTGGAACATTGCGGTACCGAATGTTTCCAACCGATAGAGATCCTTCAACTGAATCGCCCTTACCCCTCAAAATACTCTATTCTTTGATATTATAATTGCTGAAGAGTCTCTGGATGTAATCGTGTACTCGTTGAATACATTTGCAACGCCTTGCAGCAAAGTGCAAAAGTAGATGCAGAGCGTGGCTCCTGATGGTACATCGAGACCCCGCTTGCTCCAGCGTGGGGCGTTACAGCCCGGAACGTCGTAGCGCCGGGAGCTCGAGGTGAGCTCCCCTGGCAGGCCGCGACTGCCCGCCAAGGAAACCTCCAACTGGAAGGTGAAAGAGAAGGGGACCCCGTCGCATTCCGTACTCGTCAGGATTAACGTAAACCTTCATCCACTTACACTATCTGTACACACATACAAATCGTCCCGCAAACTACCTTACCAGAAGCTTGCTGCAAGTCACCGCTCTTCAGTCTACTCTTTGCGTAGCTACATGTACCTTCGCGCTTAACCTCGCCTGTCACTTACCAACTTACGGCATCGACACCTCCACCTGCATCCATCCGCGTCTGCCCCGTGTCCAAGACTTGGGTCCTGCAGCTGCTCCTCCTCCTCCCCCTCCCCCGCCCCGACGCACCCAACTCACCGACTGATCGAACCGTGTTTCGTCCAGTAGCCGTGGCGTCCTCCAAGCGTCCCCTCCTCTCCCTTACCTTCTTCCTCATATTCCTCCTCACAGCTCTCATCCTGGCGGCCCCAAGAGCAGTCCCGAGAATTACTTCTCTCTTTGCACAGCTACGCTTCAAACCAGTCCAGCTACCCCTCGTCGCCACTCCATCTCTATCGACATACCGACCCTTGGTGACCGCCGCCATGACTGTCCCCGACAAGTACAAGTCGCCGCCCCAGGCGCCCCCCGTCTTCACCGGCACCAAGGAGTCCATCGTCGGCGACTCCAAGAAGATTTGCGACCAGACTCGCGCCCTTCTCGACAAGCTCGTTGCCGATTACCCCGCCGACAAGGCCACCTTTGAGAATGTCATGAAGCCCATCGCCAAAGACGAGAACGAGAGCGGACTGTCGACCCGTATCCTTGGCTTCTACCAATATGTCTCGAGCGACGCCGCCCTCCGCGAGGCCTCGACCCAGGCCGATACCATCATGGACGAATTCTCGATCGAGGTGAACATGAGGGAGGATGTCTACAAGCTCATCGAGGCTCTCCACCAGCGCAAAGACTCAGAGAGCCTGGACCCCGAGAGCTTGAGGTTGCTGGAGAAGGATTACAAGAACTACATCAAGATGGGTCTGGGTATCCCCGCTGGGCCCCAGCGTGACCGCTTCAAGGAGATCAAGAAGCGTCTCAGTCAGATCCAGATCGAGTTCACAAAGAACCTCAACGAGGAGAACGGCGGCATCTGGTTCACAAAGGAGGAGCTCGATGGTGTTTCAGAGGACGTCCTTGACGGTCTTGAGAAGGGCACCGGCGAGAACGAGGGCAAGCTCAAGCTTTCCTTCAAGTACCCCGACCTCTTCCCGACTCTCAAGTTCGCCAAGAACCCCGAGACAAGACGCAAGGTCTTTATCCAGAACGAGAACAAGTGCAACCAGAATGTTCCTCTCTTCCAGGAGGCCATCATTCTCCGTGATGAGGCTGCCCGCATGCTCGGCTACCCCAATCACGCTGCTCTGCGCATCGAGGACAAGATGGCCAAGACCACCAAAACAGTGAACGACTTCTTGGGTGATCTTCGCTCTCGTCTGACCGCCGGTGGCGCCAAGGAAGTCGAGCACCTCCAGGAGCTCAAGAAGGCTGACACTGACGCCCGTGGTGTTGAGAACGATGGCAACTACTACCTGTGGGATCACAAGTTCTACGACCGATTGATGATTGAGAAGGAGTACAGCATCGATGAGAACAAGATCGCCGAGTACTTCCCCATCACCTCAACAATTGCTGGCATGCTCAAGATCTTCGAGGAGCTCCTTGGCTTCGTCTTTGTTGAGCTCAAGCCTGAGGACCGCAAGGCCCTCAGCCCCACTGGCAAGGGAGAGGATATCGCATGGCACGAGGATGTCATTATCTTCAGTGTGTGGGATGATGCTTCTGAGGGAGAAGGATTCGTTGGCTACCTGTACCTCGACCTGCACCCTCGCCAGGGCAAGTACGGCCACGCCGCCAACTTCAACTTGCAGCCCGGCTACTTGCAAGCCAACGGCTCGCGCAGATACCCCGCCACTGCTCTGGTCTGCAACTTCAGCAAGCCCACGCCCAAGAAGCCCTCACTTCTCAAGCACGACGAGGTCGTCACCCTATTCCACGAGCTTGGACATGGTATCCACGACCTTGCCGGCCGCTGCACATACAGCCGTTTCCACGGCACAAGCACCGTCAGAGACTTCGTTGAGGCGCCATCGCAGATGTTGGAGAACTGGTGCTGGACCCCCAGTGTTATCAAGGCGCTGTCGCAACACTACGAATCTGGCGAGAAGATCCCCGATGACCTCATCGAGAAGCAGATCTCCACCAAGCACGTCAACGCTGCTCTCTTCAACCTGCGCCAGCTCCACTTCGGTACCTTTGACATGACTGTCCATACCCCCGAGAGCCATGAGGCCATCAAGAAGTTGGACTTGTCAGCAACCTACAACGAGCTTCGCGGCCAGATCGCTGGTATCAAGGGCCCCGAAGCTCAGGGAGAGAAGAGGTATGAAACCCCATTAAATTCCAAAGGACACAATACTAACAGATATAGCACCTGGGGTAACGGCCAAGCCTGCTTTGGTCACTTGATTGGCGGCTACGATGCCGGCTACTACGGCTACCTCTCATCCGAGGTCTACTCCACCGACATGTTCTACTCCGTCTTCAAGGCCGACCCCATGAACGGCAAGGAGGGGCGCCGCTATAGACACACTGTCTTGGAGAAAGGTGGCAGCCAGGAGGAGATGTTGACCCTGGAGCAGTTCCTTGGACGCAAGCCTAGCACCGAAGCCTTCTACAAGGAGTTGGGCATCCCGCAGTAAGGGCCCTGATCGTAATGCCACGATAACGAGACGACGCCAGAATTGTATCTAATAGTACCAGATCGCGACTGTGATCACCCCCAGGATGCTCGCCTCCTAAGACAAAATAAAAATAAAAATAACTATTGAAGATTCTGAAGTCCCAAGCTAGCGTGATGACCTTTCCTCAACGATGTAAGGCTTTTGATTCTCGTACACCAGTGGCTAGATCATGCATAGGTACGTCAGAGCAAGGTGGGAAACTGCCTGTAGATCGAGTCTTCAAGGGCTGTTTGGCCTCATGATAACATGGGAGTAATTCTCTGAGGCCAGATGTCGTGTCTGATACGATGTACCAAGCACGTCACGAGGTAGGGCAGTTGAGTACATTTCTCTAGCTTGGGTAATGAATATATCATAGGTTGGTAGGGGGCTTCGTGTTTCGGGTGAATACCCACTTACGAGTATTTAGAGAACTCACTTAAGAAATCCTTTCCACGAGAAAACGCGTCCAACACGCCCAAGGGGGCGCTCCTTCCGTTGCTACTGAGAATTGGGCTGTCACGGGAAGAGGAAGGCAAGGAGGGTCGACTCACATCCTTCCGATTCCAGACCTTCCGGGTTTACCTCTTCTTCCTCTACACCACCTTCGCGGTCTAATCGATCCCATTCTCACGGCCCCAATTCCCATAGACCTTCCCCATCTCACAATATCATTGTCCTTTTCCCATCTTGCCCTCCATTTCTCTCTCACCCTGAGATTCCTCATCACCTGAACAAGCTGGTCGTCGTCGCCAAATGCCTCACGATGGCTAAGAATAAAGCCAATTACGAGTACGCGCACCCAAACTCAGACTTCATGTTCCCTTCTTCGCTCAGTAGTCATATATCATGCTAACATGGTACAGGATCACCAAGTCTCGCATCATCAAGTTCATCGTCGGCCGGGACAAGGTCGAACACAGTGTTCATGAGGCAGTCATCAGTCCCCTCTCCAAGCCACTCCGAGCCCTCGTTACCAATGGTATGAGGGAGTCTGTGGAGGGCGTCGTTGTCTGGGCCGACGCCGACTCCGACACTTTCGCTCTATTGATGGAGTTCGCCTACACCAAGGATTTCACCATCATCGATGAGAAGAAGAAGACAGTGCGCAGTATCGAAACGGCTCAGTCGCTCCAACTTCGCGTAATCTACTACGCATGGCACTCAGAGAGCGGAGGGAGCATACCAGGGGACCTTGATCCAGCTTGGCATCGCCTCATTCACACCTGGTACTCCGAAGAATTGGCTATCAATCATATTCACTCGAGAGAGTACTTCATGTCGCATGCACGAGTCTATATCTTGAGCGATCGGTACATCATTCACGGTTTGATGGATGCCTGCATCGAGAAGTTGCGTCGTATTCTTCTTCGCCATCCATTTACCCACGAATTCGCGCAGATCATCTGCGACCTCGTCGTCTTCATCTGGCCAAGAACATTGCCAAATGACCAATTTCGAGACGTACTCATTGACTACCTGCGCATTGAGTTCGACAGAGCCTTCAAAGTTCCCTGCATCGTCAAAGTCTCGGAACAAATTCCTGAGATCTACACTGAGGTTCTCAATCGCTCACCCAAAGTTCAAGAGGACCTGGCTGAGTGTGATCGTTTCGTGGCCATGAATCTAGAACCTAGAAACCGCAAGCCGCTGTATCACAAACCCAGTTCATCACTCAGAGATTCCGCATCTGCTCAGCCAGAGAGAGGAAAGAGAAAACGCTTGCTGCGATTCTAGTGAGGGGAAGGAGCAAAGGATGATACATGTGGCCTTGGAGGCCAGGGACCTTGCCGGAGGAGGATTCTATCGGAGGGCGGTTGCGACTGTACTACAGAGAGGGCCTAACACGATGCGAACTGTTACTTGGGTCTATAACTTGAGTATCATCGCATCACGATACTAGTTCTCTTGCGACGCCTTCAGCCGTCTTCTAATAATCAGAGGAACAATGCATTCTTTCTTTACTTGAAAGAACCTAGAAATACAGACCGGTCATCAAAGAATATTCACGCTTTTCATCATCCGCTAGTGCAGTGTGTGTGACTAGACTTTGTCATGATGTGAAACAGCTTAGCCTCGTTCCTGAGGATCTACCGACAAAGAGCTGCCATCTCATACAGATAATTATAGACGCCTCTCTTACAAGGTATGTGTAGGTACGATACCTTAGAGCTATTTCACATTGTTTCATTCCTACCACCTACCAGTCGATGAAACTTGCCAACGCTACTGGAAGCCGTGATAGTTACATACTTACTTTAAACTCATAAACCCTATGAAGGGCGCAGAAGACTTGGAGCGCCGCTCCTACAGGATCGACCATTGAAATCAACAAAAGATCAAGAATATTATTCATTAGGAATAGACCGTGCATCTCCTTCTGAAATCAGCTCCTAATTTCTTTCGGAAAGAACGGAAAGCTTGAATTGAGTTCCTTCCATCCATATTTCAACACGGGAGTCGCGACTTCCTGCTTTCCCTGTTCTCTCCCTCCTATATCTATGGGCCTTTTTCGCGGCCAGCCTGACTCTCACCTCTACATCCACACACACCTTCGCCCGCCAACGTCACGATGTCTCTCAAACGAAAGAGAGGAATCGATGAGTGAGTTTTTATCTTCTTCCGCCAGAACAAAAACATTCTGGATTGGATATCTGATAACATTCTATAGAATCATCGACTCCCGGGTTGTCACTTTCATCATTGGCAAAGGCGACTCGAAGCGCGAGTTCTGTGTCCATGAAGGAGCTTTTGCCTGCCTTTCGGCGCCTCTTCAAGCCTTGCTTACTGGCGGTATGAAAGAGGCCCTCGAGGGCAAGATCATTTGGGACGATATCGAACCTACAACCTTCCGCCTTCTTTTGGAATATGCATACACTGGTTCCTACCCTATACCCTACCCCGGAAAAAGGAACGACGACGAGCGCGGTTCAAAGAAAGATGGAGACACTAGAGAAGACATCGAAGAGGATCGCTCACTACGACTATGGATCAAGAATTCAGCAGAGGAAGACAACGAACGCCACGCAGTATTGGAATTTTGCGAGGAGCACTTCTCCAAATATGTAGTCAGTGAAGTGACTCCAGCAAACAGGGTCCATTCGGCCCGGAAGCCTGGATTTGAGGTACTGGATTCAACAATCATTGTCGAATTGGATCACCTCTTGAAGCCATCACAACTCTACATTCTCGCCGACAGATATCTCATCGATGACCTCAAGGAATCATGCCTCAACGATATTGGCCGAAAGCTGTGCAACGCAGATGGAGACCGCACGCTAATGGCACACGTGTGCTCCGTACTTCGCTTCCTACATGCGCAGACATTACCACAGGACAAACTTCGGAAGCTATTTTTACGATTCCTCATTGCAGACATGAGATATGCAATGGCATCTGGAGGTGAAGACCTGATCCGCGACTTTGCGGACTACGCTGTGGAACTACTACTTGAAATCCCCTACACCTACTGGAAAGAACTTCAGGATGTGTGAGAGGCACCAGGCGCCTAAAGCTATTTGGGGACAGGATACTTCATTCAACGGATTTTATCAAAAGGGACGCAATGGAATTTCGGTGGACGCTACGTTAGAGTGATAAGGTCAATTCAGAGGCGAGCTAACATTGCAATTCGCCGGACACGTCTCGGGGAAGCATGACATCAAAAGGGTCCATCGTTAGGACGAGGACGTTTGCATTTCATATCTTTCAGATAGTCTTCTTTTCAACGCACTTCATTAGCTTTTTTCGTTAATCAAAACACCCGATCAAGGGATGAACGAATTTCATCGAGACCTCTTCCACAAAGAGTCCTTCAAAACTGGAATACAGAAGATTTTGTCAGGTAAAATGAGTGCCTGGAAAGAAACATGTATTTTGCCTATGCGAATGTTTCAGAACTTTCATGACGTGTTGACTAAAATAGTTAGCTGTTTTCATCCAGAATCCATATTCAATGTTCGAGTCGTTGCCCAAAAGAATGCCGCTTCGTAATTAGCTTGCTTCCAAAAACATTCGATTGCCCAAGTACTCCTTTCCTTCTTCCCTGTCATGAACTTCTAGAGAGCAAGATCCTCTTCTGTCGCCAATTGTTCTTACCATTGCGCCATTCCTCGATCAGTGGTATATCCAGAACTGAACTGGATTGCAAAAAGTTAATATCACGTACCCTTTAAGCTCAGGCCTACTTCTGGTGGGAGACGCCACTGTTGAATGGCCAGTGAGATGATGCCGGGTCAGATGACGTCCCTCTGTCAGAGAAAACCACACCCGACGGGGGGTTACCTTTAGTGGATCCATGACTCCTAGGGGTGAAGTGCATGAAACTCAAGTGTGCAATGTCTTTCTGTGAGTCTTTCTGAAATTAAGAACCCGCAGAGCTGCGAGCAGGTGGGCTTGTGGAAGGAGGTATCAGGGTGTTCTTCCTTGTTTGCAACGTGGTTGAGAGTTTCAGTCCCTCTCATCACGTAACCATGGTGAGTTGCCAAATTCCACATCTTTTCCCTCTGGTACACGTATGTTTAGTAATTCTTGAAATTTGAGGTCATTCGTGCTTAAGCTTGAGTTACTCTTACAATTGAATTTCATTACAAGGCACCTTGGTCTATTATACTGCGACCAGGATTTTCTCATTAAAGACTTTTCTGACCCATTTAAGCAAATAAGTGTCAAATGAGGATGTTGGTCAACAAAATTTTTTATTGCCCACTAGGAATAGAAATAATAATCATAGGGCTAGGTAGGATACCTATAGAGCGCCAATCGACTTTTTCACCTACTTGCTAAGCCATAGTTCATTGACTCCACGACACCGCCATTGCTACTGGTGTGGCTGAGGACTGATCGTCAATGAAGGTTCCACGTCTTCTCTTGGAGTCCTTAGTTTGTTGTCTCTCTATAACGCCTCATAGTCCCTTCGAGAGACAGTCACATTGGAGCAGGTTGTTCCACCACGAGTCGCACTCGGGACGCGGAAGCACTCGTTTGGACAGGGAGCGCTTGCGTTGTACTGCCATGAGAAGAGAGGATCCGTCTCGTTGGTCAGGATCTGTCCGATCATGGAGGTCTGGTAGCCAGGCAGCTGGCGAGATTGCTGGAAAACGTCATACTAGATGAGCATGTTCAGCAGGGGTGCCCCAATATGTTTCTGTTCCAGGGGCTCTTACACTGCTGAGAGTCATGACGCCCCAGCCGACGTTGTAGTTGTGTTGGATGGTGGTTCCATAGACGTATTCTGACAAATCGGTGTTAGTTGTCGACGGCAATGACAGTTGCGGGGGATAAACTTGCCTTTGAAACCCGCCCATCGGATTGCACTCGCGCACTGTGAACCGTTAGTTACCGATGCTGCTAGCTTCCTGGTGACTTGAAGCACATACCATTGGACACGACTCGGCGTTCGTGTAGATCGAGAGGTCTCCCCACGCGGCATAGATCTGTCTATTGAGAATGTAAGCCGCTATTCTTGAACAGAAACTTGTGGGCCTTACGTTGGCGTCATGTCCTGTTCAGCAAACTTGGCCGTGCATGCGTTGATGGCGGAGATTTCTCCGTGAACTGGAAGTCTTGTTAGTAAGTCGTCGCTGCGATTCTCGTGTTTCCCATTACGTACTTGTAGGGTCACCAGTCCGGAAGTTTGCTCCCTCGCAGACGACTTCATCGCTGGTGTGGTTTACGATGATGGTCCCGAATGCGGCAAAGGGGCAACTGAGAGGATCTTAGTCAAATTCGGGAGTCAACTTTGAACCGAGGGTGGCTACGTACGGTCCGCTTTGCCGGAACAGAGCCTCGTTTGCCTAGCGGAAATCAGCATATGGACGGTAACGTAGAACGCGAATTCAGTATGCTAACCTTCTGCATATACTCGACTCGCTTGGCTGCTGGGATCGAGTTCACGGTAAGACCAGACATATCCTGGTCATCATTGGGGACGATGAAATGTGCCGATCCAAAGCCCATGACACCCAAAGCCAGTAGTACATGTGAAACAAGCATCTTCAAGTCTGATAGGTGATAGCGATCTAACAAGGAATCGAGAGCAAAGTTGATCAACTCACAGATGGCTGATACCTTTTTATGGCAGCCAGAGCTACGTGTCTCGAAACGGAAAATGCCATTGTCGGCGACTTCCCTCAAGAGATAAGGGTGGTCGGGGAAAAGTGGAGAGCCACGCGGTGTCATCCCGACATTTCGGAACCATGGACCACATCGTGCCGGACATTGAAGCTATCACCATGCACAACCCCGCAGTAACCCCACCCCCGTCGACATGGATATGTGTTAGTGCCATTTCTTATCACTGACGTTTTGCGGTGACCTCCTTGGCATCGCCTCGCATGGTGAAGATATCGGCCAGAGATACCGGTGTCGGCTGTTTTGCGCCGGGAATAGGTTTTGAGTGGTATGAGGTGCCCGCTTTCCCAGTACTATCGTATAGGCAATCTGTCAAACAATGCCACGGACCGAGGCTATAAAGGGATGCAAAATGAAGTGATGGGCCCAAGAGAAAATTTCAACGCATTGGCATCATACTTCCGGGCAAGAATGACGTGAACTCGATATCTTTGTGATCTCCCTATGAACGCCATCTACCCCTCAAACTCTGAAGAAGAAGCCTTGATAATCTGTCGAGCCCTCTCCGTGATGAAGACAATCTCCTACCCTCCCAAAGCTGTCCCCCATAGACTCTGTAACACATAAGACCCTTAGTCGTCAGTTGGAGTAGCTACATTTGGCAACTTGTCGGGAAGTTGGCGGCTGAAAGCTTCGTCACGCAGGAGCGTGCTCCTGAACTTCTGATGATGTCTCGAAGTGGGGAGAGTGGCAACGAAGTAATCCAGGATGATGCCGCGGATCTCATTGCCGGGAGCGCAACTAGCGCCATGCCGAATAGAATCCCAGACAGTGAACAGATCAGCCACGGTGTTCCCATTGAGAGGCATGAAAAGAAGGCACTCGCGGAAGTGCGCTTTGCAGAGATCCTTCAAAGGATGGATATCGTATGTGTACGTCACGTTCCAAAGGGAGATGTGTGCGTCGAGGGTGTCAAGACGAACGTAGTGGCCAGGGACTCTCTTTGTCTCGATAGCTTCTTTGTGGACCCATTTGTCGAGCTTTATGTAGAGACACTTGAATTCGCGTAGGAAGTCCATGCCAGAATCATGGATGAAGGATGCGTCCTCTGACCACTCATCTCCCCGCTCGAGCTTCTCATAGAGTGAAAGCGAAACGCTGGCTTGGTCGGAGGCATAGGGGTGGGCTTTGAGACCATGAACGGTGTAGTCTTGGCGATAGGCGTACTCCACCAGTCGAGTGAATGTAGCCTCATCGATATCCCTCAGGGTGATTGAAGCGGAATTGAGCTGGCCTCGTCCAGAAGTCGGCGTACGCACAAACTTTGGGGAGAGGAATTCCATCACAGCTTTGGGAACCGCGAAGGACTTGCCACTTTCGCCGACACGATATTCGATTTGCGGCGAAGCGAGAATCCTGTACACAGACAGTCAAGTCAGCATGCGCTGTGCGGCAATTTATGAGACTACTTACTTTTTCATGCTAAGCATAGGTAGAACCATGTTGACCACTGTGGTCCCAAACGGGGAGAAGATCTGGTGGCGTCTCAGAATGTTGCTGTCGGTGATGTAAAGAGATAACTGTGTCTCAACGATCCGACGTGAATTTGCCGACTTCGTTGATCGCCTCGACAGCCTCTGAATTCAGAAAACTCAAAGTGAGTCTCATGCAAAGCTGTGTATGATTAAATAAAGAAAGAACTGCTGTGGACGAGGGAAGTGCCAGAGGAAGAATCAAAGGAGTCGGCGACTTAGAAGTTCCGGTAGAGGCCTCGGAATTTGACGCCTGAGGTTCGACTTCCTCAATCATCACCTTCGTCAAAGGGAAGAAGCCAACAAGACCTTCCTTCCGCTTTGAGGACTGGAAGATTTACAGTTTTTCTCAATTCTCATTCAACCTGTGTGCATACCTAGCTGAGATCAGATAACCTCGAAGCCATTCACGCAGCACATCTCAGTCTGTTCCTATGGTTTATGACGTCTCAGCAACAATACAAACTCTGGGTTCCAGGAGGGAGCTGAATCAAGGTAGATCACCATACTTTTACTGACTTGGTAGGCCGTCTACCAGCGCATTTACACTGAGGTATCGCAGAGATCTGATATGGTATAATCGTCACTGAGTAGGGCTTCACCTGAGGAGGCCTGAGGTGCGTATGTCAATCAACCGCGCCTAAGTGATTTTCACTGTTTGATCACGTGCCGTAAGTTCCAGATTGTTCCATCTTCATGATAAGAGTGCCCCTGATCTCACTTTTCGCTTCATTCTACCTTTTCTTTTTTGCTGTTCTGTGGCGATGAATGTCCTGCAATCTCCAGGGGGTTGCCACAAGCTGCGGTTGCTGTCCGAATGAGCGCAGCTGCGCCATTATGACTTTGGGTTTTCGAGGCGTCACTTGGTCAGAAATTGAACGCTCGACGGTTTGTGCGTTGTGGCAATGCATGATGAGTCGAGGACTGTGCCGTTGTCGCTCTCATGAAGTTTCCCGAGTTACCGGTCTAAAGTGGAGACTCGCCGGCGGTGCGGGTTCGGCTACTAAGGCCGGCACTTGTTGACATGTCCCCGACGCTTTGTGATGCCGTCAGCAATTGAAGGCGTTCTGATGTTCACTGCAAATTGCGCCTCAATTCAAACTCGAGGGTCATGCTTCCATTTATGTGCCATCGACAACTAAATACATGACGTCTCCAAGCACTCATTATCCGATCATGTTGTCCATGGTACAAGGTTTCGTATCTTGTTTCGTACTCGGCTTGAACCTCGCTATGGCCCTCTAAACGCGAAACCGAGGTGCATGCGACTACAACTACCGAGCCGTTCCCACCAGCCAGCAACACTTCTCATCCCAACCCCGCCTGTTTCTTCCAACGCAACATCCGCTGCGACACTCGAGCACCCAAAGCAACTCAACTCAACCCGTCGCCGCGCGCCTGGCTCAACGATGGCCGAAGATCAGAATACCACGGACGACTCACATCGCGTCCCAGAGCTGCCGCTCCTCTCAAAGGTCAGGTACGGCGCTACGGCCTTTGCGATCCAAAATCTCTTGGTGAAGCCCGCGCTCTTTGTTCGCGATGTCAAAGCACATGTCATCCCGCCTGAGAACCGTCCAGAGATCGTGAAGACGTACGAATGCAGGCCGTACCTACCCGTCAGGTGCGTTTTCTTATTTCACCTCATTTTTGAAAAATTCCCATCGCACTGGCGCAGATATTGACACGTTCCAGAGTCTTCTTCCCGAAATGCTTTGACAAAACGTCCAAAGACAAGCTGCCGGTTCTCTTCACGATCCATGGTGGTGGATTCGTGCTCGGTACGCCAAATGACAACGACGATTGGAATCAGACGTATGCTTCGCAGCATCACTCGATTGTCATTGGTCTCAATTACGCCAAAGCTCCGGGTAACCCGTTCCCCAAGCCGATTCATGACTGTGAGGAGCTCTTTCTCGCCGCGCTCAACGATGACTCGCTTCCGTTGGATCGTACCAGAGTATCGTTGGCCGGCTGGTCTGCGGGCGGGAACCTGACTCTGGCGGTCGCGCAACTGGAGACAGTCCGGAAGCATCTCACTTGCATCGTCCCATTGTACCCGGCGGCTGATCTCTCCATCACGGGAGAGGAGAAGGCCCCGACGCGACAGTACAAGCCTGAGCTCGGAGGCTTCCGTGCAAAGGAGAAGGACTTCTTGCAAGGGATTGCACCAGTGTTTGACTGGGCTTATAAGATCCCCGGCGAAGACAGCCGCAACCCGCTACTTAGTCCCACCTTCGCGCCAAAGGAAGCTCTACCTAAGCAAGTCTTCATGATCGGCTGCGAGCTGGACATGCTTGCCCAGGAAGGTCAAAGGCTCATTCACAGGCTTGCGGGCCGCCCACCGCCGCCAGCAAAGGTTGGAAAGCCTGAAGTTGTCGGCGAAGGCGAGCTCGTGCTAGACGACGAGGTTTACCACTTCGAGGTGTCTGGCGCTGACGGAAGCCGCTACCGGTGGCTGCTGGTCCCGGATACGGTCCATGGCTTCGACCAGCATCTGGACGGCATTGTACGTGATCCGGTTCTGCTCGAGGACGCCAAAATCAAGACGCAAAAGACCATCAAAATTATCGGAGAATGGATCCTTCAAGCTCCTCCTATCAGCGAAGCTTGATGTATGTTTTGGATGAGACAGGCGCGGAACTTATTTGTATGGCGGTGCTGGCGTCGAAGAAGTCGATATGACCATGAAGGGATGTCAGCTGCGAGGCTTCTCCTAGTTACTTTCTGCTTTATTCGATACTCTGTATGTTATGTACTTGCGAATATGTTTATATGAATGTTACAAAGTATTTAATTTCTTCATTTGGCCGATATCGCCATTAGACTACGGATTGTATCAAACAGATGTGAGTTGATAATCAGCACCCACATGCCCACGTTATGAATCCCCTGGGTCTTAGGAACAGAAAAGGAGAGGCTAGGATCTTTGGGTGTGTTTCCTCTCAGGCTTCCTAATATACAGTTCTCTTGAACTAGATAGATATCTTTGCCTACCGCGCGGCAAGCTCATTCCCACTCGTACGGCCCACAGAGCAAAAGTTCGACCTCCAAAGGAAGGGGAATCACAGGAATCTTTTACTAGTCATAGGTATAACGATGCAGCAATTTCTCACAAGACTCGAAAGACACGATCTATGCAAGCGAGGCCTTATGAACGAGACATTTCTCGCTACGTCATAGGCCTTGCTAATCAATTATCATCCTAATCCGTATGATGAGGTGGGCCGCGTCCATGGGCGAACCCGGACAGTCGAGGCCACTCTGCAATCAAGGTATCAGTCAGTCCTTCCGCAATGACTTACATAATTTTCTCGCAGCACGCAGAATGTATTTTGTCTATTACTCTTGATTATGTTCCCATAATATTCAAAGGTACGAGCGCTCGCAGGCCAGAGCGATTCAGAATGGTCGATTAAGTTCCTGGTTCGAATCCAGGTCGTGCCCTTTTTGTCCTTTTGTGTCTCGCTTGGTTCATCGTAACTCAGCTCTAGTCAACTGTGACGACAAGCGACTACGCGAATCTTATTCGCAAGGAAGCACTTGAGTCCCCTCGACTTTGATATATCCCTTTGCATATCCCGAAGGCTGCTCGGGCTTTGCAGACGAGACCCTTTCACGATGAGCCTACAGATCCTGATGATCCCAAGTCTTAAAAAAGTCCGGTACCCATAATGGTCTGTAGCCAGTTGCTGTGGCAAAAGGTCCAAAGTTTATATGATGCAGAATGCGGTAATCTACTCCCAAACTAAGAAAGTTTTTGACATGGCCCCGCAACTCACGTACTTCTTGATACACGTGAATATCGAGATAATAACATCCCCTTCTACAAGAGCGTAGTTGAGAAAACAGTTCTTGCAGCAAGAAGGGGCCATGCTTCATGAGTAGTAAAGGCGATCTCGCGCCTCATGATTCGAAACTTGGAACGAAGTTTTTACGGGTGTGTAACAGATTTGTTGACAACGAAAGAAATCACGACGGAACCCGTGTTGTTTGTTTAAGTCGGACTTGATTCACTATCTAGTTTCCCCTTTAGTCAGCTCAGCTAACTCGAAACTACCGTACCAGGCGCCGGCATCTTGAGATTGATCAAGTAGTCGTCTACAACGCGTGAGGCATCACCCTTCAGCAAATAGCTTGTATGCCCAGATCCTTCTCTGAGAAGTAAAGTTGCGTTCTGAAACTCTTCCATCATACCAGCCGCATACACTAGGCTCGTCGCCGGATCAAACCTTGAATGTACGAGCAAGATGGGCGGCGTGTCCTTGATATTCAACGCTGTCCGAGGATTCGTAATCTTGACCGGGTACCCGGTGCAGTCAATCACCCGATGCCAAAACTCTCCCATGCCTGGCGTAGTCGTGAAAGTCCGGGTCATATCAGCCACTCGCTGTACTTCGACATGATCCTTGGCAGCGAAGAAATGTCCGTCCTGGCACTGCACATTTGTGATGGATAAAGAGCGAGAGTCGGTAAAAATGTCGCCAGATAGTAGACCCGGAGTAAAGAAGGAGCCATTCCCAGTGGCCCCGAGCTTGAGCATTTCGGCAAACGTTTTCCGGTCTTGAGGGAACTCCAAAGTCGACCGTGCAGAACCTATTACGTTGTTTGGTGTGGCAACAGGCAGGCAGCCGGTTTTGACGGTCCCGTCACACTCAGCGGCTTTGAGGTTCCCCGCGCCCGCGACTTCGAGGATCTTGTTCCATGTCTGTCGGATGTCTTGTCCTCCTTCTCCGCAATTAGTAGCGTTAGCTTCGCAGAACCGGAAGAATGCCTGGATGGTGGCGTCCAAGGACGTGGCTTGTGTCATGATGTTCGAGGCGAAAGACCCAGTGTGCTGCAACATCCCATCAAGCGCCATGGCACGGATTGCCGTGGGGAACAGTGCAGCATACTGAGCCCCGAGCTGTGTTCCATATGACACTCCGAAATAGTTCATGGGTTCACCACCAGTAGCTGTCTAATGTCAG